CCTAAGAGCGCTTTTATCATCTACATCTTGTGAGTGCAAACGATTGTTGCGCATATAATATTGTATCTTTAACAATATCACACTATGTTCTGTTTTATATTCCTTCTGTAGATTTACACAGCTATATCCCGAATCTCCTTTTTTGGTTTATATTATGCATGATACAGGTTGCTCGTTTGGGTAGCGACCTAGGGAGGCTGTTACACATCTTTATAAGCTAAGTATTATTGCTTTTTAATTTGTCATTTTGTTTGTATATTGTTTAAGTTAGATTTGCAAGCTACTGCTCTATTACATTGTCTGCCTACCTTTAAGTCATCAGAAATAATCACCCCTAAATCCCTTTCCTCATATGTTGAGGTTAGGACTCTATCAAATATTCTGTACTCTGCCCTTGGGTTTTTACGTCCAAGATGCATTATCTTGCACTTATCCACATTAAATGTCAGTTGCCACAATTCTGACCATTTTTCTAGTTTACCTAAATCATTTGTCATTTGGCTTATCCCTCCTGGAACATCAACCCTGTTACATATCTTAGTATCATCAGCAAAAAGACATACCTTACCATCAAGACCTTCTGCAATATCACTAATAAAAATATTAAAGAGAATGGGTCCAAGTACAGATCCCTGAGGTACCCCACTGGTGACAAGTCCAAGCTTCGAATATATTCCATTAACTACAACCCTCTGTTGCCTGTCACTCAGCCACTGCCTTACCCATTCAACAATATTGAATCCAAACTTAAAGATTGCAGTTTATTGATAAGCCTTCTATGTGCAACAGTGTCAAAAGCCTTACTGAAATCTAGGTAAGCAATGTCTACTGAACCACCCTGATCTATTATTTTAGTTACCCAATCAAAAAAAAATCAATAAGATTAGTTTGGCATGATCTCCCTGAAGTAAACCCATGTTGTCTCTGATCTTGAAATCTATGTGTTTTAGATGTTCAACAATCCTATCCTTTATCATTGTTTCCATTACTTTCCCCACTACTGAAGTAAGGCTTACTGGCCTATAGTTTGCCCGACTCCTCCCTAATACACCTTTCTTTGTAAATGGGCACAACATTAAGCTAACTTCCAATCTTCTGGGACTCCTGTTAACAATGATTGGTTAAATAAATCTATTAATGGTTTTACTTCCATTTTACTGTGGTGAAGTGCCCTTAGCCGCCTGGTCCTGGAGAGGCCTACTTGCCAGCTTCCTTCCCTGTGACTATGACTCTTTCATCTATCTGGCTTTGAAGCCCCTAGTCTACCTTCAGACAGACTATTTATGTGGGCTGCTTTATTTATCCTATGTTTTAGTCACCCTGTACCCATTATAGGTGCAGGGTGTGTGTAATGTAATTGTTTATAGTGTGTGTGTGTGTACTGTGTAATGTATTGCCTGCTCTCTTGTATTGCTGAGGTTTGCTACCAACTAGGTGGGTTTGTCTATGGAGCTGGTCTAGTGCCCTCTGTTGGTAGCAACAGCAATATGCACTACCTGAATTGCAAGACTGGTTCATTTGCATATTCGGGTAGATTTGCATATTGCTAATTCTGCAGGCAGGTGAGATATTTACTGTTAAATATTGTCTCCCCCACCCCTTTAAAAATGTGCCATTGTGTTGTGATAAGTCACTGTGTGTTGCTTGATATGGTTTGACTGTTTGTGATTTTATTGAGGTTTCACAACAATGTTATTGTGGTGACCCTATTGGCTGGTCCCAAGGGAAATAAAGGTTTTGACAGTTCTTCTTGATCCCTCTAAATCAGTGATGGCGAACCTTTTTGAGCCCGAGTGCCCAAACCGCAATACATGCCAAAAAATTTTCTCCTTAAAGTGCCAACACGGCAATTAAACCCAAATACTGAGGTTTAAGTTTAGAAAAAAACAACTCGTACTGTTGTCCGAACTAATTACTTTTGTTTTAAAAGAACACAGAGAGTTCAATGATCCAAATTTTAAATAATGATATATATAGATAAAATTAAGCTTATATTTATTAGTATCTCCAACAAATGCAATACATACACACACAGACTGCTGAATACATACACACAGTCTGCTGAATACACACACACAAGACTGCTGAATACAGAGACTGATGAATACACACACAGACAGACTGCTGAGTACACACACACACACAGACTGCTGAGTACACACACACTGCTGAGTACACACAGACAGACTGCTGAGTACACACACAGACTGCTGAGTACACACACAGACTGCTGAGTACACACACACACACTGCTGAGTACACACACACACACACTGCTGAATACACACACACAGACTGCTGAATACACACACACAGACTGCTGAGTACACACACACAGACTGCTGAGTACACACAGACTGCTGAGTACACACACACAGTCCACTGAATACACGCAAACACACACAGTCCGCTGAATACACGCAAACACACACAGACTGCTGAATACACGCACACACACACACTGCTGAATACACGCACACACACACACTGCTGAATACACACATACTGCATTGAGGTGGGGGGTGCGTGTGTGTGTGAGTGTTGTATGTGAGGGGTGCTGTGTGTGTGTGTGGGGGGGGTGCTGTGTGTGTGTGGGGGTGCTGTGTGTGTGCTATATGTGTAAGGGTGCTGCGGGGGGTAGGGGTACTGTGTGTGTGGGGGGGTAGGGGTACTGTGTGTGGGGGGTAGGGGTACTGCTGTGGAGGGTAGGGGTTACTGCTGAGGGGGGTAGGGGTACTGCTGGGGAGGGTAGGGGTTACTGCTGGGGAGGGTAGGGGTACTGCTGGGGAGGGTAGGGGTTACTGCTGGGGGGGGGTAAGGGTGCTGTGTCAGTATACCCCCCCTCCCTCCTTCTTACCTTTAATGAAGTGGGGGGAGGGGGGACACAGCGATCCCTGGTGGTCCGGTGGTGGTAAGCACTGCAGGGGGAGGGCTCCAGGAAGCAGCTCCCCTGTCCTCCCGCGCAATGCTGTGTGGAGCGTTGCCATGGTAACGCGCGGCAACGCTCCACACAGCATCGCGCGGGAGGACAGGGGAGCTGCTTCCTGGAGCCCTCCCCCTGCCTCCCGACCCGGAAGCAGAGTAGGTGCCTGCCGTTTCAGGCAGGCGCCTACTCTGCAGTGATGGCGAACCTGTGGCCGCGTGCCCACAGAAAGGGCCCGGCGTGCCACCTGTGGCACGCGTGCCATAGGTTCGCCATCACTGCTCTAAATGTAGCCTTGTGTCGTTATTGGAGGGAGCTGTTATAATCACACTGGGGATTGCTATGCTCTGTATGCTCCCCTGAGCTTGAGTCACTTAGCTCTTTTAAGAGCTTGTTCCTGACACGTTCTCCTTGGACACAGTCCTGGATGCTGGAGGTTCGTGCAGGGTGGAAGGAAGAGTTCTTTCCCACACAGTCCTGGAGGACAGAAGCTGATCCAGGGTGGAAGGAAGACGGCGGTTGTGGAGTCTGCGGTGGTTGTGGTGTCTGCTGCAGTGCTTAGAGTCCTCAGGAAGTGCTAGGAGCATCCGGCAACGGAGGGTACTCCGTCGGAGTACAAGGAGCTCCGTTACATTGGTGGCAGTGGTGGGATGGCGTCCTAGTGCGAGGAGAAGCAGCTCGGAGACACTGGTATCGTATGAGAGGTTATTGAGGGCAATGCTAGCCACTGTGCAGCGTCCCTAACTACAGCAGCATGGAGCAGGGATGGATAGAGCCCTGCGAAGAGCACCTCAACATGATACGTCGCTACGAGGACGACGCTTACATTGAGGAGGTAAAGAGGCGGTTGGTCTGCTATGGCCCAGACCTTTCGAACAAGGTGGTCCACCAAGTAATGCGCCAGTTGAGTGCTGAGAACAGTGCGGCAATGGCCTTTGAGCGACAACTGTGGAGGTTGAGGATACGGACACCTAGTCTCCAGCGGCAGTGCAAGTTACAGGGAGCCGAAGGTGTCATCCTTCCTCCCCACCGGCAGTGCAAGTTACAGGGAGCCGAAGGTGTCGTCCTTCCTCCCCAGCGGCAGTGCGAATTCCAAGGAGCCGAAGGTGTCGTCCTTCCTCCCCAGAGGCAGTGCGAATTCCAGGGAGCCGAAGGTGTCGTCCTTCCTCCCCAGCAGCAGTGTGTCCTACAGCGAGCATAGACAGTTGGTCTCTCTCTCCAGCAGCAGGACAATATTATGGGAGTGGAGACAGGCGGTCTCCCTCTCCAGCGGCAGCCTGTGTTTAAGGGAGAGGAGCACAGCACCCTATCTCCCCAGCGGCAGCTTACCCTACCAAGGGGAGACACCAATCTCCCAGATGGCACAGAGGGAACCGTGGTCTCTGTGCCCGACCTACAGGGATGCTGGACAGCCTGTCCAGATTCCCAACTACCCTCACAGGGACAACAGGAGGAGGAGGTAAGTACGAATTCCCCTCCCCAGCTAACTCCTAACTTGGCCCCAGGGTTAACACGGGAGATGTTAACCCCCACTGACCCCCACGTTCCCCTGGCTACTGAGCCGGACTATGTCCCAAGCCCCCCAGCGGAAGAGCTGGCAGCTGGGCAGAGTGCAGTCGGCCTCTGCCCTCCCTTTGTCCCTTGTCCAGAGCCTGATGTCCTGCAGGCTATACCAGCAGAAGAGCTGGCATCAGGGCAGACCGCCGCTGGCCTCTGCCCTACCGATCCCCTTGTCACAGGACTGGCCTGCACCCCCCTCCTCCCAGCAGAAGCGCTGGCATCAGGGCAGAGCGCCGCTGGCCTCTGCCCCTCAAGTCCCCACAGCGTGTTGCCCCATCACCCCAGAGGAATACCCAGGTGCAGTCACTGTTTGCTGTGGGTGGGCTGCTCTAATAACTGTTTGTTGTGGGTGGGCTACTCTGGCACTTGCTTATGGTCGGTGGGTGACTCGACTAACTTAGGCACTGACCGACAGAAAGTCAGGTGCCTGGTTAGTCTTCCCCCCGAAGGGGAGATATGTGACGAAGTGCCCTTCGCCACTTGGTCCTGGAGAGGCCTACTTGCCAGCCTCCTCCCCTGTGACTATGACTCTTTCATGTATCTGGCTTTAAAGCCCCTAGTCTACCTTCAGACAGACTATTTATGTAGGCTGCTTTATTTATCTTATGTTTTAGTCACCCTGTACCCATTATAGGTGCAGGGTGTGTGTTATGTAATTGTTTATAGTGTGTGTGTACTGTGTAATGTATTGCCTGCTCTCTTGTATTGCTGAGGTTTGCTACCAACTAGGTGGGTTTGGCTATGGAGCTTGTCTAGTGCCCTCTGTTGGTAGCAACAGCAATATTCACTACCTGAATTGCAAGACTGGTTCATTTGCATATTCGGGTAGATTTGCATATTGCTAATTCTGCAGGCAGGTGAGATATTTACTGTTAAATATTGTCTCCCCCCACCCCTTTAAAAATGTGCCATTGTGTTGTGATAAGTCATTGTGTGTTGCGTGATATGGTTTGACTGTTTGTGATTTTATTGAGGTTTCACAACAATGTTATTGTGGTGACCCTATTGGCTGGTCCCAAGGGAAATAAAGGTTTTGACGGTTCTTCTTGATCCCTCTAAATGTAGCCTTGTCTCGTTATTGGAGGGAGCTGTTATAATCACACTGGGGATTGCTATGCTCTGTATGCTCCCCTGAGCTTGAGTCACTTAGCTCTTTTAAGAGCTTGTTCCTGACACGCTCTCCTTGGAGGAGGGTCTTCACCACACAGTCCTGGATGCTGGAGGTTCGTACAGGGTGGAAGGAAGAGTTCTTTCCCACACAGTCCTGGAGGACAGAAGCTGATCCAGGGTGGAAGGAAGAAGGCGAGACTCCAGTCAAGATACGGTGGTTGTGGAGTCTGCGGTGGTTGTGGTGTCTGCTGCAGTGCTTAGAGTCCTCAGGAAGCGCTAGGAGCATCCGTCAACGGAGGGTACTCCGTCGGAGTACAAGGAGCTCCGTTACATACACCACTAAGCTCTTTTAATAGCTTTGGGTGTATTCCATCAGGTCCCATTGACTTATTTGTCTTTACTTTTGACAGTTGAAATAGAACCTCTTCCTCTGTAAACTCACGTGTAATAAATGACTCATTTATCCTTTTTCTCAACTGAGGTCCCTTTCCTTCATTTTCATCTGCAAATACAGAACAAAAATATTCATTGAGGCAGTCAGCTAGACCTTTATCCTCTTCTACATACCTTCCTTCTTTTGTTTTTAATCTAACTAATCCTTGTTTTACTTTTCTTTTCTCATTTATGTATCTAAAAAAATGTTTTATACACTGATACATGTACACGCCTTGACACACATACACACAGTGGCACATAAATACACAATCAGATATACACACTGACACATACACACACAGATACACACAGTGGCACATAAATACATAATCAGATATACACACTGACACATACACACAATGGCAATTAAATACACAATCAGATATACACACTGACACATACACACACAGATACACACAGTGGCACATAAATACACAATCAGATATACACACTGACACATACACACACAGATACACACAAAGGCAATTAAATACATACTCAGATATACACACTGACACATACACACACAGATACACACAATGGCAATTAAATACATACTCAGATATACACAGTGACACATACACACACATTGACACGCAGGTTCACACACTGGCACATACACACACTCAGATACACACTGATACACAGATTCACAGTACCTGCGCGTCCATAAGGCGGCACAAGCGGCTGCAATAGGGTGCACCGGCTCTGGGGTTTTGAGTGACCAGCAGGAAGGAAGCAAACAGTGCTCCCAGTCACTCAGTGTAGCGTGGCCGAGTGGAGCGGACTGCGGTACAGGAGCTTTTGTTTATTTTACCTGGCCGGTCTGACAGGATATGCTCACTGAGAGCTTCAAGAGAGGTAATAAGGCACACCAGGGAAGGGAAGGGGGAACACTAAGAGACAGGGAAGGGAGGGGGGAGAGGAACACTAAGGGGGTGGAGGCATTAAGGGAAAGGGAGGGTAAAGAAACACTAAAGGACAGGGGAGGACTACTATGGGACAGGGAAGGGTGGGAGAGAAAACCACTAAGGGGGGGAGAAGACCACTAAGGGACAGGAAGGGGAGGGGAGACTACTAAGGGACAAGGAGAGGAGACTACTAAGAGGGTGGGAGGAGACCTCTAAGGGACAGGTAAAGGAGTGGAGACCACTAAGGGACAGGGAGAGGAGACCACTACGTGACGTAGTCTTGGCTTTAAAATGCAGATATATATTTGTATGTAGTATTGGTGTTTGAGTGAAGGATGTGGTTGAGTGTTTGTATATCATTTTGGAGTTTGAACTCAGGGTTGTTTGTGTATGTAATGTTTGTGTTTGGAGGGATGTATTTGCATGTTGTGTTGGTGTTTGATTGCTGGGATGTATGCACATACACTGCCACATACATACATACTCACACAGATAAACATACATATTAACACAGATACAGACATATAAACACACTGACATCAAGATTGATTATTGCAGCCACGGAGGCGAGGCCAGCCATTGCAAGACCAGCACAGCGTGGGAAAAAAGATGAATAAAAACTTTCCTATGTGTTCGGAAGAGGGCGGTCACCCAAACAGACATGCTCACTGACAGACTCACTGACAGACACACTCATTGATAGAAATACACATACTCACTGTCAGATAGACACACAAGCACAGACACACACACATTCACTGATAGACACAAACACACACTGATACTGATACACGCACACACATTTCCTCACACACTCACAAATGATTGTTATTTTTTAGTTTTAATTTAAGTCCACCTAGCCTTCCTACCTTTGGGAGAGTTGGGACGGATCCTCTACCTGGGGTCCAGTGGGGCTGCTCTGATCATCTTCAATCTCTTCTTGCTCTGCTCCCTCTCACGTTAATTAGTGATGCTGGGGCTAGAGTGACATAATATCCCAGCTCCCGGCATTGCTGCAGGGTATGGGAGGGAGCAGAGAAAGAAGATCACAGCTCCCTTACACCTTTATATCTCCCAGTTAGTCACCTACATTCATCATTCCTGACTCAAGCCAGCCGCTTGCCTTCATCATCCCCAACATGAGCCGTCCATCTGCCTTCATCCTCCTCGAGCCAGCCATCTGCATTCTCACCCAGTCGCCCGCCTTGGAGGGAACGGGTTTACAATTACCCAGGAATTTGTCAAGCCCTGAGCTAACGAAGGAATCTGTTTCAACAATGAAAATATGATGTGGTGATCAAGCCCTGTCTTTCCTATTATGTGACAAATAAATTGGATGATCAAAGACCAATTATGAAAACATAATTCCAAATTAAATGCAACTTTTAGACTCATGTTCTGGCTGCCCATCTAGGAAATTGAGGGAGAACAGAGATAATTCTAATTTCTGTTGGTCTCTGAGCAAGAAGTGCCACATGGCATGAAACGTGTTGGGTGTCTACCTTGTCTAATCTAATGTAACATGACATCCATAAATAAATTAACCATTCACAAGACCTGTGAGTGCACCCCTTTCAGGAGGAGACACCACTCACAGTACCTTGGTTCAGACTAGGTTATCATCAATATATAGCATATAAACACCCAAATCTAACTATGAGAGGAAGCCCTAAGACAATCTCGGGACACTAAATCCACAGCTCAAGGACAGATAGAGAAATAACAATGTGGCTAAATGCTGCCCACTATAAATCTAACGGAAAAAAGCCAAAATGTCTTATTTGTAGCACTCCTTACAATTAGCCACGTGTTCAGCACCCAATAGGAAAACGGTGGCGTATGTTGGGAGGAAGTGTCTAAACAAGAGGCACCCATGGAACGACCCAGGTTTAACAACAGGCCAAGCCCACCTTCCAAGAGGATGTGTCTATCAAGAAAGCCTGTCTTCACAGATGTTCTGTCCTGTAACAGTAGTTAACATTCTGTACAGAGAGTGGCTCTCACACAGATATTATGTACACGCTGCTCAGTCAGGAGGCTGTTGTGTGTGTGTGTGTTTGTTTGCATGGATAAGAGCAGCTCTGTGTAGGGCATAAAGAGGCTGTGGTCTGTGCATGTATGTAGAATAGTGGCAGCAGTGTGCATGGGAGGATAGGGGCTGTAGTAGGTATATGGGGAGATAGGGGCTGTAGTAGGTGGATGGTAGGATAGGAGTTGCCATTGGTGCGTTGGGATATATGGGCTGTAGTGGGTGAGGTAAGAACAGGGATGGATAGAGGCTGATGTTGGTGCAAGAAAGCATAGGGGCTGTGTGTGTGGGGATATAGTGGCTGTAGTAGGTGTGTGGGGGGATAGGTGCTGTAGTCGGTGTGTGGAGATATAGGAGCTGTAGTCGGTGTGTGGGGATATAGGAGCTGTAGTAGGTGTGTGGGAGTATATGGGCTGTAGTCGGTGTGTGGGAATATAGGGGCTGTAGTCGGTGTGTGGGAATATAGGGGCTGTAGTAGGTGTGTGGGAGTATAGGGGCTGTAGTCTATAGGGACTATAGTAGGTGCATTGGGGGATAGGGGCTGTAGTGGTTGCATTGGGGGATAGGGGTTGTAATGGGCGCAGGGGGGCATAAGGGCTGTAGTGTGCACAAGGGTTGTAGTGTGCACTGGGGGGCATAGAGGCTGTAGTGCGCTCAGGGAGGAGTAGGGGCCATAGTGTGCATAGGAAGGGAAAGGGGCTGTATTGGGTGCAAGAAGGCATGAGGGATGTGGTTGGCCAAGGGGGAATAGGGGTTGTAGTGGATGCAGGAGGGCATAGGGGCCGTAGTGGAAGAGGTTGGTACAAGAAGCTAGAGGATGAGGTGGGTGCTATGGGGGGCGAAGATATTGGGACTGTGGTTTGTGCAGTGGGGGGCATTGTGGATGGGGTGACTGTAGGGAGGGATGGATCTGTGGTGTGTGCTGTGGGGCCTAGCGGCTGTGGGTGAGGTGGATGCAGGAAGGCATAAGGGGATTAGGTGGGTACAGGGAAGGATAAAGGATGAGGTGGATGCATAAGGGCTGTGGAAAATATTTACAAGGAGCATACCTGGTGTCTCTGCCAGACTGCTCCTTACCTTCACTGTGCTCACAGGCCAGGAGCACTCTGCAGGACAGTAGAGGAGATAGCAGGCAGGACGTGATGTCACTTCCCATCCCCTATGCTTGACCTTTTCCCCTCGCACACAGCACTGCTTAGGAGAACAAAGAGGAGACCTGGCAAGAACAGCAGGGCTGATGCCAGGTTTGACTTAGAATGTGTGAGGGTGGTGGGTA